TTATTATTATTATTATTATTTATATAGCGCCAAAACAAATTCCGGAGCGCTGTACAATATGGGATAGTATATGATGGGATAGTATAGCAAAATTTCAACAAGCACACGATATCCAGGTCTGTAGACCTGTTAAAATATATATTAATGTCCTCTAGCGTTATAGATGCAGACTTGTACAAAATAAAGTTAATGAAAACTGTAGAGTCTTGTATGGAAAAGTGTAAAGGGAATAACATCCCACGCATGATTAATGTAAGCTCATGAATTTGGACCTGGAATGCTGGACAATTACCAATTGATTAGGTTCGATTGGTTGTTTCAATGCATGAGGAGGTCTCTATGAGGAGGTCCAGAGGCCCCCGTGCCGATTTTAAAAATTGGCCATTTTGATGTCACAAAGGGAGCAGAGCCAGCGCCGGCGGTCCCGCGCGGCGCTGGAAATAAAGTGAGTTTTAAACTTTTATAGAGGGGTTAATGGGGTGTGGGGGGTGGGGGAGAGGGGAACAAAAGTGATCTAAGTCCTAAATGGCAATGACTTGAGCAGTGCAACTTCAGAGGCATGATGTATACACATAAAACTGCTTCATTAGGCTAAAGTTGTTTTGGTGACTATAGTTTCTCTATAAAGGAACACTAATGCATTAGGAATCCAAAAATGTATTCCTAATGCCAAATTGTTTTTCTAACTATTTATTTATTCCCTTATATGTTTGCAAGGGAAGAAAAAGGTATTTACTTCGATTTTAGTCCTCGCCGTACTGGTCTCTGCACCGACCCCTCACCTCAACCAATCCAATGCTTCCCAACAGGGAAAGATAGAGAGTCTAGTGTGCATGCTTGGCAACTCGCTGCACTGCACCAATCTCTCTGCGAGCAGCATATGATTGAGAACAGGGTCTGATTCAGTTCTCACAAGAGAAGCGCCTCTACTGGCTCTCCGGAAGACAGCCTGTAGTAGTTTGTTAGCCCTGTAATCCTTACATTGCCATAAATAGCAAATGTCACTGTTTTACATTGCAGGGTTAAAACTAAAGGGTCACACTGCACCCAGAGCACTACATTGAGTTGAAGTGGTCTGTTGGTGCCTTTAATGGTTAAAGGGACACTTGAGTCACCAAAACAACTTTAGCTTAATCAAGCAGTTTGGGTGTATAGATTATGCTTTTGAAATCCCACTAATTCTCTGCCATTTAGGAGTTAATTTACTTTTGTTTATGCAGCCCAAGCCACACCTCCGCTGGCTGTGACTCACACAATCTCACTTTCAATCAGATTGTAGTTTACTTTAAAAGTTATTTCTCCTGCTTTTTAAAGTGAAATTGAATCACATACAGGAGGCTCCTGCAGGGTCTAGCAAGCTATTAACAGAGCAGGAGATAGACATAATTTGCAATAAGGAAAGTGTAACTGTTCGATGACTATGTACAGGCAGTGTTTAGGAAGGCCGTGCAAGCCACATACAGGGAGATGTGACTAGGGTGGCATAAACACTAAGTTATTTATATCCTGGACTTTATTACCACCAATACAGTAAACCAATAACAATAAACAAAACAAGTGATAGAACACAGTTAAAACATTATCTTCAGAGTACATAATACATCTTTTATACAAAAAAAGCTTAAAAATAGAAAATAATAGTTTGTCTGTGTGTATAAATAAGAACAGAACATCTTATTAACTCACAAAACTCAGACAGATCTATCCAGAATACTGCATTTTTAATGGACCAAGGCTTTTTGTCCTTCTACATTCAGTTTGCAGAGACCATTGTTCCGTCGCCAGTTCTATCTGTTCTCTCGTACACCCTGAACCCTAAAATGTAGGTTAAAATTATTGCATTGCACTGATTGTCAAATGGTTGTTGCAAGTCATGAAGCAACTGGATGTAATGCCCATGATGATTAGTGATGCAACACTTCTGCCCTTTGTATCACATCTTTGCTTGCTAAACTGCAATTGACTGATTGCAACAATATTATATTTAAAGTTACTAAATCCTTAATTGAGTGTGACAGAACATATTTACCCTATTTTGTGCAAATGCATGTATGTACTATGCTTTGGTTTATGATAATATTTTAACATTTAAGAAGCTGCTTATAATGATTTCCATCTATCTATTTCAATCCAGGTGAGTCGCATCCTGTACAGCTTTGCTACAGCTTTCCGACGCTCATCCAAACAAACCCCTCTTTCGGCACCTATTCCTCCGCAAACGCCCGACAGCGATATTTTCTCCTTTTCCGTTTCACTGGAAATCAAAGAGGATGATGGGAAGGGCTCTTTCAGGTAGGTGCCTTGCAGGAACAGTCTCTATCAGGAACTAAACAATTTTGGCACCTGAGAAATGGCTAAACACAATCACATGAACAATACTCATGACATTAATGATTTTAAGGATTGAACATCCTTAAGCAACATTGTGTTTCCCTTCTTTCTTTCGCTTGCATTATAGATGATTTTACATGCTGTGCCGTGTCAAAAGGGGGCACCTGATAGCCCTGGTACATCATTAGAAAAAATTGTTGAACACTGCTGTTCTTCCACAATTACTATTTAATACGCACGTGAAATTCTGGCTGACATTTTTATTCCTGTGGTGGCTCTAACGAATCAGAATTAGCAAAGTGTCATCACTCATAGACAAGGAACACACAGTCTTTCCTTCCAGGATCAATCCCATTCAAATCAATTGTATGCGAGGGATAGAGGCTTGAATGTAATTTAGCTATTTCTCAAAATCAGGAAGGGGGCCTTAATAGAATTTGTAACAAAAATGGTTGGCTGATTGATGGTTTGAATCAAGCAGAGAGATGTATATAAAATATATCTTTAGTTACCTTAAGTATTGAAGTCGGATCTATGTAACTTATAGTTACATTCCTCTGCATGAGCATACATATTTCCTGAAATACAATGTAAAAGTGGGTATGTTCTATGATATTCACATGCTTTTTAAAGGCTCTGTTATTTTTTATTTTATTTTTTATATATAAACCTCATTTCTACTTTATGCCTTTATTTTTATTTATTTATTTTTTTAGTTAGGTTTGACCAATCCTCCTTCTTGCTGTTTATATTCTATATTTTCCTTTTTAAAATGTATTTGTGTGGCCCGTTTCCTTATATGTCTATATTAAAGAGGTACTGTCACTTCCTGGACTTGCTCAACCCAAAACCTGCAGGAAACTATGAGTTGTACTTTTTTTTTTTTTTATCCAAAAATTAAATAATTTATATTATGTTGTAATATCTCTTGCATACATTTAGCAACAAATGTCCAGGCACACCTGTGTTCATATGGCATTTTAGAAAATGCATGCTGGAAGCATCAATGCTTGAGATAGTTGTTATATAAGTTCTTCCGTTGTACTGCACATTCATTAATGTTTTATTAGCATAACATGATTAAAGAATTCGTAGTGCAAAACATGGCTAGCCAAAATAAATTTATACCCAAGTAAGTTATAAACCAGGAGTAATGCTGATTAGAGGAAACTTTTAAATCACAACTCTGTGAATAAATTATGAAAATAAAATGTCTGGAGTGGGAGGACCTGGTCACAATACCAAACCCTAAAAAATTAAAGGAGCACTATAGGGTCAGGAACACAAACATATATTTCTGAACCTATAGTGTTAAAACCACCTTCTAGTCCCACTGACCCCCTCTTGCCTCCCTAAATATAGTAAAATCCTACTTGTAATCAAGCCTGAAGCTGCTGGTTTTGTCCCTGTCTGCCTCAGACCTGCAAGCTGTCTGCTGACATCATCAGAAGTGTTGTTCTGAACCAATCACAATGTTTCCCCATAGGATTGGCTGAGACTGTGAAGGAGGCAGATTAGGGGCAGAGGCAGCACAAGTCAAACACAGCCCTGACCAGTCAGCATCTTCTTATAGAGATGAGTTGAATCAATGAATCTCTATGAGGAAAGTTTAGTGTCTGCATGCAGAGGGAGGAGATACTGAATGTTGTGATTCAAACTAGGCAAGACTGAGATAGGAAGCAGCTCTATCAGCCGTCTAATGAGTGGCCAGTGACGTTATCACTAGGCTGTAATGTAAACACTGCCTTTTCTCTGAAAATACAGTGTTTACAGCAAAATGCCTGAAGGTAATGATTTTACTCACCAGAACAAATGCAATAAGCTGTAGTTATTCGGGTGACTATAGTGTTCCTTTAATGTTGATCCACACGATTTTTAGCAGATCAATGCAAGTTGTATATAAATACTCAGATAGCAAAATTAGTCAGTACTGTGCAGGAATAAAACTGCCCTTCTCGTCCTGATTTCTTCTAAATCTTTATTATTGTATTTTATAAGTAGTATATGTGTGTGTATGTTTTATTGTAATGGGGGAAGCTCTTTTATACCAGGCTGATTAATCTTTGGATAAACTGATTTAATATGAATTAATATTACTTACATTATTTAAATTTTATATTGCTCAGTTTTTAAAATTATGACAGTCTTTTGTCTTTTTCATGTATTTTTAAGAGCATGTTGAATTGCTACATGTATCCTTAAGAGCTTGTTACACTTGTTTGGCTTTTACCAATTGCTGAGTGCACTGCTCTGGAATATATTGAGCTTCCTTCACAGCCTTAGATATGTCTTAAAGAACCACTATAGGCACCCAGACTACTTCAGCTTAATGAAGTGGTCTGGGTGCCAGGTCCAGCTAGGGTTAACCCTTTTTTAAAATAAACATAGCTATGTTTATAATAGGGTTAATCCAGCCTCTAGAGCCTCTAGTGGCTGTCTCATTGACAGCCGCTAGAGGCGCTTGCGTGCTTCTCACTGTGGAAATCACAGCGAGAAGACGCTAGCGCATTCAGCCGATGACATTGCTATGAAGGAGGAGAGGAGGAGGAGAGCTCCCCGCCCGGTGCTGGAGAAAGGTAATATTTTAACCCCTTCCTCTCACCAGAGCCCGGCGGGAAGGGGGCCATGAGGGTGGGGGTACCCTCAGGGCACTATAGTGCCAGGAAAACGAGTATGTTTTCCTGGCACTATAGTGGTCCTTTAACAAAGGCCACCTAGGAGGAATCGTGTTAATTTACAGGTATTCTGTGCATCATACATAACTTTAACACCCTAACCTTTGGAATATTAAAGGACCACTATACTGCCAGGAAAACATACTCGTTTTCCTGGCACTATAGTGCCCTTATGGTGCCCCCACCCTCGGGGCCCTCCTCCTGCCGGGCTCTAGGGTGAGGAAGGGGTTAAAATCTTACTTTTCCAGCGCCGAGGGAGCCACCCTCGGGGCTGGGGAATCTCCTCCTTCTTCTGCAGTCATCGGCTGAATGCACATGCGTGGCAAGTGCCACGCTCACATTCAGCCAGTCTCATAGGAAAGCATTCTCAATGCTTTCCTATGGACGCTGGCGTCTTCTCACTGTGAAAATCACAGTGAGAAGCGCGGAAGCGCCTCTAGCGGCTGTCAATAAGACAGCCACTAGAGGATGGATTAACCCATTTGTAAACATAGCAGTTTCTCTGAAACTTCTATGTTTAGAGCAGAAAGGGCTAATTCTAGATGGACCTGGCACCCACACCACTTCATTAAGCTGAAGTGGTCTGGGTGCTTATAGTGGTCCTGTAAGACTTAGGCTGTTAAAGTTATTGTACTAATTCTGAGAAACTCTGTGCATTATGATATTGGGAGTTTATTTGAAGTCTGCAACTTCTTTTGGATTAGTGGAATTATTATACTGCCTTTGCATGTGTATGATTACCAACGTGGAGGGCAGCTTTATTTTTGCACCATACTCCTGAAATTTATTGGAAATTTCATCCATGATAGTTACCAACTCTGCCCAGTTTACCTGCACTGCACTTGACTAATTTTTCTATCCGGATATTTACAAACAACTCTGATCTGGTAAAAATCATGGGAATCAACGTTTGGTTACTTCTTCTGACCCAGTGATTTTGATCAACATTAGTTTTTTTAAGGTTACGTTTTGTGACCTGCTCCTCTTACTCTAGACATTTTATTTTTATTATTTATTTGGAGAGTTGTGATTTGCAATATTATCTACACTTCTTTTATTACCTGTTTATAACTTACAGGACTTTCTATGTGGATGTGTATTTTTTGGCTAGGTATGTTTTGCACTTTGAATTCTTTTATTATGTTATGCTACTAAAGTATTAATTTAGCACTAACTTTATTTAAAGTTTATAGAGTTAATTCTTTTAATCAGCCTCCCTTTGTCAGATTACATAGCACCTTGTTTGTGTATTTTAGTTTTATTAATTACTCCTTTGTTTATTGTATTTTTGCTGACTGACTGCTCATTCATTCATCTAAATGATTTCAATAGTATTCATAAAGGTGTGGTATAAAGCTGCCAGAAATTATAATTTTCTTCATCATTTTTTTTTTCCCTCAAACAGTCTGTAAGGTATTGATAATCCATGGTATTTCTATCCCTCCCCTTTTGTCAGTGCTGTTCCTAAAGAGAAAGACAAACAATGCTTCAGACTACGCCAGGGTGCAGACAAGAAGATTGTCATTTATGTTCAGCAGACATCTAACAAAGAATTGGCTATTGAAAGGTATTTTTTTTTTTTATAGTTTGCCTTTTTTTTTTTGTCAATTTGCAAATAACGTTTTTGTGCATGTTGTACATATAAAGAGAATAAGGGTAAAAAAGAACTTGCTAGCTAATGAATAATGAAAGTAGGAAGTAAGTATAACAGTGTATATTAATACAAGCCATAATTAATTTGCACATTGTTATTTTATGTTCAGTTTGGCTAATTAAAAAAGGTCAGATTGCAATCAAAAGCATCACAATTTCATTATGTTCATTTAACTGGGTTGTGATCACATATGACAACTGGGCAAAACGGAGGAATAAATGATGTGATTTTAAAGAAAATCACAAAACATTATGTTGCTTGTAGGCATGCACAGATAAATAAAACAGGATCCCTTGTTAACCAGTAATTGGCATTGCTTGCTGTCCCATCTTCTCACCTCATGTTGACCTGGTTTGTGTTTGTAGGTCTACAGTGCATGAATTGCATTCTGTTTATAATTATGCCGGATTCTGTTATATAAACTTAAAATCCTGAAAAAGAAAAAAATATAGAATATTGTTTGCTAAGCATATGCATTAGTTTGGACAAACATTAAAATGACTGTAACTCGTTTTCTGGTTATTTTCACCAAAAACTAATGCAAAAACAATGAATGAATGGTTTAACTCTGAATTTTTAATTCAGTCTCAATTGTTCATTCATTAGTGCACGTGAATCTGCAGCCAGTGAGGGAGCGTGCAGCAGAGAGTTTTTTCTGAGCAAGCCTGAGACCACAATCACACCCCGAATGCAGAATTAGCCTGTCAGGTTTTCATCATTTTCTAATTGAACACTGTGTGAGACCGCATTAAAAAAAAGGTTCTTGTCAGTAGTTTCACTAGGATGGAAATCGTCAGCAGCACACTTATGCAGTTTGTATATTTAGCATTTTTGTCCTACACACCTAATGCTGTATTTATTCATCTCAATGTGATAACTGGTAGAACCGTCCTGAGGGAATGTTAATGGGAGAAACTGGTTTTCTAATACTAACAAGCATTTTGTGAAATATAAGGCCTCTTTGCAGGTGCCAGGGATACTGGTTTCCACTGTATTAAAAAGGCTTAATCTACTTAATGATTCTCCTCTGCATCTACAAAGTTGGATGCATTATTTGGGTGGTTTATGTTGCATATTTGGGTAGCATTCAGGTTCCCACAGAGCAAAGTTCATAACTTCACCTACTGGAATTCCATAGTGCCAGGTAACCTGTAATGGTGGTTCTCAAAGTCAAGGACCTCTATATGGAATGATCTAAAAATGGCATTGTGTGCTGATAATTAGTATGAGTAAATATGGTTGGCAGATTTCAGTTTGCGATGCTAATTAACATGCAAGTATTTCTCCTTGTTGCTGTATGAGTCCAGTGACGGCTGCAGAGTATTGGATCTGTCTATGGAGATAGGATCCAGTATAGACCTCAATGTTGTACTCTTGCATATGTGCAAGAATACAGCAGTGACATTGACTCCTAGTGCTGAAGCTCCAGGAGCTGGATAGGACCTGCTAGAGGAAGATGGCAGAGCCTACATGTATCAGGTTCAGGAAAGTAAATCTCACATTTACCTGCCACCCACTCACCGACCACCAGAGGCAATGTTTTTTTACAGTCTTTACTAGGAAGTGATAAGTCAGACTAATAAAACGCAATGCTTATATTTGTCACAGTCAGTATCTAGACACCAAGACTACAACATTAAACTGTAGTGTTTTTGGTGTTTAAAGTGTCAGGGGTCTTTGTGAATTCTGCAATGTCCCCAGATGGTGACAGTGCTGCTTTAATGATGATTTAACTAATTTCATTCCACGTTTGAATCTAACAGGGATAATCAGATATTTCTAAGCAGTGTCAAAAAATAAAATACAAGTTGACAACACTATCTAGCATCACCAAGAGTATGTTATTTATTCATTTCTTGATTAATTTTTTTGCATTCGGCTTTATTGTTATGATCTCATATCCTTTTCTTTTTTTTTATCTATAATTTACATTTTACAACATCTGTTTTGGATCCAAGTGTTGTGAACCATTTTAAATTTGTTTTTGTGATCATAGGTGTTTTGGACTCCTTCTTAGTCCTGGGAGAGATGTCCGAAATAGTGATATGCACCTTTTAGAACTGGTAAGTAGCAAGTTTTTATCTGTGTGTCGAAAAATAGTCTCTAAATGTTTTGGTTTTTTTTTCCAATAGAGGATAGCAGATTATTTTTTTCTGTGTTGTATTTAGGAGTCTATGGGTAAAAGCTCAGATGGTAAATCCTACATAATCACTGGAAGCTGGAACACGAAATCTCCTCATTTCCAGGCTGTAAACGAGGAGACACCAAAAGGTATTGCAGCTGTCTAAATCTAGTTGGGTATATATGCTTAAAGTATTAGGAGTCTAAAATGTATTACTAACACTATAGTGCTGTAGTACTGTTTTAGGTACTTAGCCACCCACAGTAATGAGTTAAAAGGTATTTTACTTACCTTTTATCCATCGTTGCTGGTCTCACCATGGCTGGCTCTGCCTCAATGGCTGTCTTGACGATCTCAGCCAAACCAATGTTTTCCTGTAGGAAAGCATTGGGAGGCTATTGTGCAAGTGCAGCAAAATGCCACGCTGCATCAATTATATCAGTAGAAATAAAACCTTCCATACAGCAGTATTCTGGTTTGCCCTGGCCACCCCTCCTCCTTCATGTGAGATCATCCAGGCACACGATCTCCACCAATCAAATGCTCCTACCTAGAAAACCATTGAGGGCTGTACTGCATATATGGTGCAATGCTTCAGCATGGGAAGACTTCACTGTGTTCTGCATTGTCATGATGCCGAATATAAATACTGTACATTTTTTTTTTTTACAGTCTTTACTAGGAAGTGATAAGTCAGACTAATAAAACGCAATGCTTATATTTGTCACAGTCAGTATCTAGACACCAAGACTACAACATTAAACTGTAGTGTTTTTGGTGTTTAAAGTGTCACGTTCCATAGATACATAGAATGTGACGGCAGATAAGAACCATTCAGTCCATCTAGTCTGCCCAATTTTCTAAATACTTTCATTAGTCCCTGGCCTTATCTTATATCTAGGATAGCCTTATGCCTATGCCACACATGCTTAAACTCCTCCACTGTGTTAACCTCCACTACCCTCTCAGTAAAGTAATACTTCCTGATATTAATTTTAAACCTTTGCCCCTCTTATTTAAGACTATGTTGTGGTAGTTTTTCTTCTTTTAAATATAGTCTCCTCCTTTACTGTGTTGATTCCCTTTATGTATTTAAATGTTTCGATCATATCCCCCCTGTCTTGTCTTTCCTCCAAGCTATACATGTCCTTTACCTTTCCTTGTAAATATTATCCTGCAATCCAGGAACCAATTTAGTAGCCCTTCTCTGAACTTTCTCCAAAGTATTAATGTCCTTTTGGAGATATGGTCTCCAGTACTGCGTACAATACTCCAAGTGAGGTCTCAACAGTGTTCTTCTATACAATGGCATGAGCACAGGGCAGGCCTCAGACCTTTAGGCGCCCTGTGTGAAAAATCTTCACAGCGCCC